TCAACATCCCAATATGATGGAGTTGCAGCAGTTGGTCCATAGGTAAGGCCGCAGCTGAGTTTCCACGGTAAGGCTGAGTTTGAGCCTGCTAAAAAATCCACTCACTCTCTCAGAAAATAAGCCCTGTCAGCTTCAGAATTGGGGCCCAGATAGATTTTTCCTTCTGCAAACTTTGAGTAACCAATTTTTCTCACTACGGGACTGAGGTGAGCTTCATGGCAAAATAAGCAAAGCCGAGGGCATTTATCCAACACCTTCACCACTTCCCCCCCAAAGGGTCTGGCTAAAACAGGATCCAACTTTGAAAAACCTTCTCTGTGCCCAGCTCTGGCAGGAGGTGAGAAATTGCTTTGTTCCCCTTTCAACACCTCAGCAAACTAACCAGGGGCACATTTCCCTTTTCCTGGTTCTACAGCTCTCTGCTACTTCCCCACCTCCCAAGTGAATTCAGCAGGAGGCTGACACGGCCTCCCTTTGAAAGGCTAAGGGGCTCACTCTCCGTTTTTCTAATCTACAGGGGAAACAGACTTGAAAATTGGCATTTTGTAATGTTTGACTTGGACTCAATCCCCTCACCCTGTGAAAGCAAAGGAGAACTCCAGCGTTGTAACAAGTGTTATGACTACAATAGAAACAGGCCATCCAAGCTTGCGCACTAGGCTTTGGAATCTTAAACCAAAGTGCTGTAATGGAGATCAAATCCAGATATTATTCTTTTCAAATGTGTTGGGGGGGTCAGTTGGTTTTTTGCAGGGAGCAAGCTGGAAAAGGAAGTTAGACTTTTTGCCATTGGGGAGGCAGGTTCGAGTCACAGCTCTGAAGGGTGGGGGAATGAGTTTGGAGATTTTAGCATAGCCCCAAGTGGCATCAAAATTTGGCTTAAGTGGAATAGCTGGAGAGCAAAAAGCAGAGGTGCTTTGGGGAGTGGAAGAGCTGGGGCTGCTGCACTGAGAGGCATGAGAATTGAACTGGGTGGGGCACAAGATGCTATGCTAAAATATTTTACAAATATTTAACTATTTTTATTATGAAATTAGCTACTGTTATACTAGTTAAACTATGCCGGCTATATTGAAGACCTAGTATTCAGACATTTAACACCACATTAGGCATAATACAATTTTAATAATGATTTAAGAGAGTTTTAAAGGGTAGAGAGATACTTTCCATTAGCTCTTTAGTTCAGTGACTGTGCGTGGATAGTGATATTGCAGCAGGGTTGCTCCCTACTACTAACACCAAACAGCTTTAAAGTATCTCCTCCCATCCCTTGGCAGAGCTGCATGGGAGCTCAGGTCAGGACTAATAGCATGTGGGAGAAGATGAGGCTCATAAGAAGCCTGTACAGCACTGTGGTCCACACTGCAAATGGCCCCTTGCTGTCACACAAGTTCCTAGGCAGCAGTGACAGAAAGAAGCGCAAGGGAAGTTTAAGTTGAGATTTTAGTCTCTAAAGCTCTTTTAAGAACATAAGAACGGACAGACTGGGTCAGACCAAAGGTCCATCCAGCCCAGTATCCTGTCTACCAACAGCGGCCAATGCTGGATGCCCCAGAGGGAGTGAACCTAACAGGTAATGATCAAGTGATCTTTCTCCTGCCATCCATCTCCATCCTCGGACAAAGAGGCTAGGGACACCATTCTTTACCCATCCTGGCTAATAGCCATGAATGGACTTAACCTCCATGAATTTATCCAGTTCTCTTTTAAACCCTGTTATAGTCCTAGCCTTCACAACCTCCTCAGGCAACGAGTTCCACAGGTTGACTGTGCGCTGAGTGAAGAAGAACTTCCTTTTATTTGTTTTAAACCTGCTGCCCATTAATTTAATTTGGTGGCCCCTAGTTCTTATATTACGGGAACAAGTAAATAACTTTTCCTTATTCACTTTCCCCACACCACTCACGGCTTTATAGACCTCTATCATAGCCCCCCTCAGTCTCCTCTTTTCCAAACTGAAAAGTCCTAGCCTCTTTAATCTCTCCTCATATGGGACCCGATCCAAACCCCTAATCATTTTAGTTGCCCTTTTCTGAACCTTTTCTAATGCCAGTATATCTTTTTTGAGATGAGGGGACCACATCTGTACACAGTATTCAAGATGTGGGAGTTCCATGGATTTATATAAGGGCAATAAGATATTCTCTGCCTTATTCTCTATCCCTTTTTAAATGATTCCTAACATCCCGTTTGCTTTTTTGACTGCCGCTGCACACTGCGTGGACGTATTCAGAAAACTATCCACAATGACTCCAAGATTTCTCCTGATTAATTGTAGCTAAATTAGCCCCCATCATATTATATGTATAGTTGGGGGTATTTTTTCCAATGTGCATTACTTTACATTTATCCACATTAAATTTCATTTGCCATTTTGTTGCCCAATCACTTAGTTTTGTGAGATCTTTTTGAAGTTCTTCACAATCTGTTTTGGTCTTAACTATTTTGAGCAGTTTAGTATCATCTGCAAACTTTGCCACCTCACTGTTTACCCCTTTCTCCAGACTATTTATGAATGGGTTGAATAGGATTGGTCCTACCATTGACCCTTAGGGAACACCACTAGTTACCCCTCTCCATTCTGAAAATTTAATATTTATTCCTACCCTTTGTTCCCTGTCTTTTAACCAGTTCTCAACCCATGAAAGGATCTTCCCTCTTATCCCATGACAACTTAATTCACTCATGTCCCTCGGAGGCTCCTTCCCGTGGGGTGCCTCGCCTTCGCCCCGCAGCTGCCTTGCCCCTTCCAGCTGCTGCCATGATGGTGAATTAGAGATTTCTGCACCCCCAACCAGAGTCCATTCTTCCCACTGAAAGTGACTCATGCCACTATACAGCTTGTAATGTATCCGTTCGGACATGGCTATGCAGCCAATTGAATGCATTCTGAAACTGCCTCTGTGCTGCTACATTTGATGGTTGGAGACACCTGCTGGCAGGTGTGTGGCATAGTTCTCGGGGCCACCTTGTTACAGTTTGGCACTAAACTTTTCCAGCAAAGAACCCTCGGCAAAAATCCTACCCAATACAGTCTTGCAGACGAGATTTCCTACAGGCTGAAAACTCAGCTGAGAGTAAAAGGTGTCCATGCTGAGATGGGTTTTAAGTTGTTTTAAACAGAGTGATATATACTTAGTGAATTAGACAAACTGCTCAAAAGCAGAATTTGGGTCCCTCAGTCACTGGGTATCTATTGCCGTTTAAACGGACGGCATGTTTCCTCTAACCAACCACTAACTCCGCTTTCGTTCAATTCCTTGCAAATCTCACACATTTACAGGACCTCTTTGGGAAAAGAAATACAGGTCACTCAATCGCAAATGGAAGCATCTTAAATCAGTTTTAAGCCTAGTTCCTCTAGTAGGAACAGTATTCACTGTAAATTATTCTGTCAGCTACATCGCCATTCCTGCAGCTCTAAGATTAGTATCTTCGAGCTAGTAAGTGCATCACAACCTGCCTTTTGCTGCCTTTTAGGACCTGTGGCTACAGGCATCCATTTGCCCACCTCAGCCTTATTTCGCCATTGCTCACATTGTGTTGTTTAGTGTGGGAGAAAGTTTTCTGCATCACTTCCAGGTGAAGTTACCTTCATTTATAGTTCAGCAAATTCTATTTGGGCCATAAGTGTAGGAGCAGGTTGTAGGCAGAAGGAGCAAAGCACTGTTTGCATCAAAAAGGTTGAACCCGGAACTAAGATTAAAGAGGTTTAGTACAGCAAATAGTCATAGTGCATCTAGCCAGCAGGCCGGTCATTTCTTTAAAGAGACTGAACAAAAAGAGGCAGTGGGAGGGATAAGGGCTAGACTCTCTCCTTGCAGTATAGCCAAGGCATTTTCCTAGTGTAAATTTCCAGTACAAAGGAGCCACTTGTAAAGTTAGTGACTGTTTTGCAGAGTATGTTTGCCCGGCACGGGCACATGGAATGCATATTGGAGAGGATGACCCTGCCAGAATGCCAGTTCTTGAGTGAGCAAAAACAGTTTCTGCCATGCCCTAATGTGACCCAGCAAAGAGTCTGGGATCCACACACAAAAGCTTCTCCAAGCTACCATCTTTCTGGGCAAGAAGAATTACACGTTTCCTTTAAGATAACCAATCATTACTGTTTCTCAAAAAGAAAAGGAGTACTTGTGGCACCTTAGAGACTAACCAATTTATTTGAGCATGAGCTTTCGTGAGCTACAGCTCACTTCATCGGATGCATACCGTGGAAACTGCAGCAGACTTTATATACACACAGAGAATATGAAACAATATCTCCTCCCACCCCACTGTCCTGCTGGTAATAGCTTATCTAAAGTGATCATCAGGTTGGGCCATTTCCAGCACAAATCCAGGTTTTCTCACCCTCCACCCCCCCACACAAATTCACTCTCCTGCTGGTGATAGCCCATCCAAAGTGACAACTCTTTACACAATGTGCATGATAATCAAGTTGGGCCATTTCCTGCACAAATCCAGGTTCTCTCACCCCCTCACCCCCCTCCCAAAAACCACACACAAAAACTCACTCTCCTGCTGATAATAGCTCATCCAAACTGACCACTCTCCAAGTTTAAATCCAAGTTAAACCAGAACATCTGGGGGGGGGGGGGGGGGAGAATAGGAAAAAACAAGGGGAAATAGGCTACCTTGCATAATGACTTAGCCACTCCCAGTCTCTATTTAAGCCTAAATTAATAGTATCCAATTTGCAAATGAATTTTGCAATTTGCAAACGAAAGCTCATGCTCAAATAAATTGGTTAGTCTCTAAGGTGCCACAAGTACTCCTTTTCTTTTTGCGAATACAGACTAACACGGCTGTTACTCTGAATACTGTTTCTCAGTTGCCACTGTTGAAATTCCTTCTCACCACACATGTGCCCGCACGGCCAAACACATTCTTTCTACAGCACTCCTATCACCTTGTCAGCCCAAGAAAGCATGCCACATCCATGCTCACCTCAGCCCCTTCCCAGACTTTACTGAAAGGATCAGACCACCACTGAAAAGTCATCATTGGGATTTTTTTTAATGCAATGGCTTTTAAAATGCAGCCTTAAAATGGTTTACAAGCACCAATAAAGGGAAACAAATGAGTGATCCTTACACATCTTTGAAACACCACCCTACACCCAATAGACAAACAGAGCCATCAGCTCTGTCAATGCAACTCTTTGAATATAGACTCTTACTGCCCCCTTAAGGGTGAATTGCAAGATACCATTCTGGGTATTCAACTCCTGTAGCTATCGGAATTCATTTGGGTGAGGCAGGAATTCCAGAATGGGCGACATTCCAGACAGCTCAATGTTCAAAACAGGAACTGGCATCCCACAGATGGACCAATACATAGAAAGAGCATTCACAATCTAGACAGTTCCATTTCAAACCCTTCTGCAACCCACTGGCTGGGTGAAATGAACTTGGTGACTGTATTTCACTTCATAGCCATACCTATCTTCCCCCTCAGGAATCAAGGGAAAGAGGCAGGATTTGCTCAGAGTTGTAATTGCACTGAACGCCAAGATAAATGGTGACTCAGATAGGGGGAGCTTTTCAGGGTCACAGACATACCCAGCAAAGGATTTTACAGAAGTGGACTGAAGGGCATTTCAGGCTAGTGAAAGGTGACAGACCTGCAGGGTCTATCCCTAGAACAGATACAGCAGAGGTGGCAGCAGCTCAAGCTTCACTCACACCATCTTTCAGTGTGTGCTCATCATCTTCACCTTGGAGACATCTCCCAACTACAGATAAAAGGGGACTTTTGTCTACAGAGTCAGGTCCACGATTTCCTGGCTAAGGCTGACATTAAGGTAGTCACAACTCATGTCCCAGAGGAGTTAATTTTGAAAATGCCTGTTAAAATTTGTCTCTTACAACTTTGCACTTAAATGCTTTTCATCCTCCAAGCACTTTGCAATGTTCAACTGAATTTTCCATTTGAATAAAGTGTCAAAAGGGGTGAATTTTCCAGCCTCTTGGTTTATCTTAGACCCAATAACACTACTTCAATTCATTTAGTTATTTCTAAACAAGAGCAGAGGATATAAATTGCTGCATCTTACCAATTAAAATAATGTGGAAACTTCTATTTTAATCTAACTATGCACAACAGAAACTACCAAAGCCCCATTTCACACTGTGCAGTATTTCTACATCACAGCAGGAAAGTGGAATTACATTGGCTGAAATGCATTTAGTACTTTCTACTGTTTAGATTTGATATCTAGATATTGCCAGACAGGGGAAGTGAAATTCAGGCTGTATACACTGTGAAATGCTGGATGCATTTCAGCCACTGTAATTTATTTTTTCCATTAAAAATATTCAGGGCATCATCATGAAATTTACCTGTCCCCCTATAAACCTTATCACATAACAGACCACCACCATAGCACAATATACCCAGACAACACTGTTCCACAGGACTGGCTCCTAGCAGCATTGTTGTGGGAGAAAAACTGAAAATTCTTGCCTCCAAAAAGGAGGATCCAGATAATTTGAATCTCCTGAGATGCTGGTTATGCTCTTCATCTTTATACCATTCTCCTCTAAAGGAAGGCACCCAGCCTCCCGTTAGGATACTACACTCTAGGTAGGCTTCCCTGGCTAGTCCTTAAAATAATGAGGTTTGAATTTTATGTGTATTTAACTATTATACTCAGAATTAGTTAGGAGTAGTTTGCTTTGAGTAAGAAACTGAGATCAGTGCAGTATCTCATTGTATATTTTGGAGAACAGTATTTAATAACAAATGCTTCAGTACCAAATATTCATAGCAAACTAACCAGGGCTACTTTTCCAAGCAGAGACTGGAAGTGTTCACAGGACTAGTGCGAGAGTTGTGGTGTTCTAATATGGCAACTGAATTTCTGTTCTGCAAAATGAACTTAGAGCCTGATGTTGCTGACCCTCAAATACAGTCCCTGACAAACCAGAAGTTCTCTGCCACCAAATCCCTCTCACCAAAGAGCACGATTACCCCAAATGGAAGCAGATCATTTGCACTGAAAAGCCCCCATGCTTTATTTTGGATAAAAAGGGCTTGTCTGAAGTGCTCTGCCATCACTTTTTCACACCATGAGCCTATTGCAGAGTTTTAACAAAAGACACTGTGTCCTCAGTAAGAAGAGGCACAGCTGGAAAGAGTGGGACCTACTGTGTGCTCCATTAGGCACTCCCATTGCTTTCACTTTATATGCTTCATTCTTTGCTGCTACATACATGTGTTAGCCAGTCAGTCACAGGCTGCACCCCCTCCATCTGCTAGCCTAGCATAGCCCTCACAAGCATCAGTGGGAGGAATGCATGTGTGTCTCAAAAAGAAAACAGCTCCCATGGTGGGTTCTCTTTGTGCTCGGTCTCCAACGTTGGTTATGAAACTCAGTCCCATATTTGAAACGCCTGGAGATCTTTTAGCATTTAAGGAGCAGACATTTGCACACAGCCAAATATCCAGCTAAAAACTGAGCGTAGAAAGAGTCTCTGAGGGTTGTATGAAAAAGTTATCCACCCTGTGAAAATCTTTAGAATGAACCTGTGGTATAAGTAGAGTAACCCAGAGAGTTGTCTCATGGAAAATGGAAATGTAACAACTTAAACAGTCAGTGAGTCTTTAGGAGTAGGAATTTAAAGGGGGCACTAAATCCCTATGAATCCATGACAAGCGCAACAGGCCACAGCAACTGGTCCCTCCAGTCCCTTTGGGAGACTGCGCTGTGGCTCACTCCTCTCCAGCCGGGAGATTGTCTTCAATCCGCTTAACAAATTTCATTCGTATTTCTGTGACACCATCTCCTTTCAACGTATCCTGGACAAATTTCACATCCACGGCCATCTGAACCTGGGGGACGGAGAAGAAAAACCAAAAGGAAAGTTGCTATGAAGTTAAACTAAAAGCTTCCCTATTAGCTGTCCACCCCTTAAGATAGGGGATCCAAGATACAGGACAGGGCATATCATATGGGGTCCTAGAAAGGGCACTAATTACTCTATCAAAGATCATAGGCTTGTCCCCCTATGCCATTGGCACTCAGATACTATTGGGATGGGGCCATATCATTCCCTAGACAGACAGACTTCCCAACAAGAGCAACGGTTGGGATTCCCTTCAGAACTCTGCATTGCTTCTAGAAGACAGAATCCAGCTAACCCTTATCTCCAGGGCATCTACACACTCCCCCATTAATTGAGGCAGAGTTATAAACTTTACTCAGCACAGACCCCTCCCTTTGAACAATACCAGCCAACTGGCTCCTCCAGTTCTATTTTGCTCTTGATATAGATTCACAGCAAGAGAAAACATGAAGACCACAAACTTGCACAAGGGGGTTGAAATGCCTGCAGAAGGCTCCATGTTTTCGTTTCCAGCCAAGATCTCCACAACTCCACCACCCTTCCTAGGAGAGAACTCACCATTTCCAGGGCTCCTCGCAGCACCCCACACAAGAGGTTGGAGTAAATAAGAGATGAGTGGTTATCAGGCAGCTCCACAAAATCCACCAGAGGGTTATTTTCCAAGATGAGGGAGAACTCATCGCCTGCTGGGCTCCAGTTGGTGATGCTCGGGGTGATGCCCAGATACATTTTAAATGCCACCTATTGAGTTACATGGAGCAGAGACAAGCAAGTGACCCAAACGGTAATATTTCCCATTGACGCTGGTCATCAAAGAATCTTAATGAGCTTTGCAAATATTTACTAAGGAAATCAGATCCTTGGCTCCCATTGAAAGTTAAGAGGAGTCAGGGACCTAACTTCCTTAGGTGCTCTCAAAAATCCAACCCAAAGGCACACACTAGCCCTGTTAGTAGGTTAATTTTATCCCCTTCTCACAGGTGGGGAAATTGAGGGGAGCAATATTCCCTCCCCAAAGGGAAAAATCCAAGAACACTATCTGAATCAGATTTTGCCTAATTCAGAGCAGTTTCCATTTCCTTGGGTTATTTTCTCCCCATGTCAGGGTTCCCTCCCTACTCTGAACTCTAGAGTACAGATGTGGTGACCCGCATGAAAGACGCCCTAAGCTTATTTCTACCAGCTTAGGTTAAAACTTCCCCAAGGCACAAATTCTTTGCCCTTGGACGGTATGCTGCCACCACCATGTGATTTAACAAAGAATCAGGGAAAGGACCACTTGGCGTTCCTATTCCCCCAAAATATCCCCCCAAGCCCTTACACCCCCTTTCCTGGGGAGGCTTGAGAAGAATATAACTAATTGGTTACAAAGTGATCACAGACCCAAACCCCTGGGTCTTAGGACAATAGAGAAGTCAGTCAGGTTCTTAAAAGAAGGATTTTATTTAAAAAAAAAGGTAAAAATCACCTCTGTAAAATCAGGATGGGTAACAAAGATTCAAAAACGCAGCAGAACTTCGTCTAGGCTTAGTTTCAAAGTTACAAAAAACAGGAATAAACCTCCCTCCAGCAAAGGAAAAATTCACAAGCAAAACAAAAGATAATCTAACACGCCTTGCCTGGCTTTTACTTACAATTTTTGTAATATGAGAGACTTTTAGGATGGTTTATAGGAGAAGGAGTTTCCTGACCTGATGCTTCTCTGCTTCCCAAGAGAACACACAAAACAAAGCCTTCTCCCCCCCCCCGCAAGATTTGAAAGTATCTTCTTTCCCCCTTGGTCCTGTTTGGTCAGGTGCCAACCAGGTTATTTGAGCTTCTTAACCCCTTACAGGTAAGGAGGAATTCTAGGCTACCCTTAGCCGTATGGTTATGACACCCCTATTCAGGAAACTCTAGTTTGGATACAAAATGATTTCAAAGTCTCTAGTTAAGCTCAGGAAGCAAGAAGCCACAAGATACATTTTAGAATACAATTGGTGCACCATTCATTATCTCACTCTAAATCAGAAGCTGTTCACCTTAACAGTCCATGAACAGCCTGGCTATGGTGCTGGGACAGGCATAGGACCAGCACTGGTAAAAGCATGCAAGGCTGTACTTGGAGGATTACCTTTGCAATCACATCTGCAGTTTCCCGGAAGTCATGGCATCTTCCTACATTGGACCGGGCCAGAAAATCTTCTATTAGCCGAACTCCAATGTTGTAGCCCCTGTCAATGCACAAAACAGCAGCAAACTATAGAATTATAACAGCACAGCTCAGCTCCAGGAAGATGTTCTAAATCAGTGGCTTGCAAACTTTTTTTTTTACTGGTGACCCCTTTCACATAGCAAGCTTCTGAGTGAGACCCCCCTTATAAATTAAAAACACTTTTTATATATTTAACACCATTATAAATGCTGGAGGCAAAGCGGGGTTTGGGGTAGAGGTTGACAACTCGCGACCCCCCACGTAATAACTTCACGACGCCCTCAGTTTGAGAATCCCTGTTCTAAATCTATGCATTAAACTGTTCTCTGAAACTAGTATGTGAAGAGATACAAAAGGAGGGGAAAATATTTTGTTTTAAGTTCTGAAAAAACCACAAGTGAACAGTGTTCAGTCTGCCAGTTGGATTGGGTGCAGAAAATAAGAAACAGCAGTTTAAACAGTTCTGCCTACTACAAACTTTCCCAAAGGACTCAAACTCCAACATGTTAACTTACATTTTATCAAGCTGTTTATTGACATCTTCGTCGTTCTCATAATCCTTACACAGCTGAGTGACCAAAGCTCCATAGGTCAGAGTGAAGAGCTCCGAGCTCTAAACAGATTCAAAAGGAATTTACCATCAGCTGGGCAGAAAAATCCCTGGGCGCCTTTGGGTTTTGTTCCCACCTTACTTTAGTTGGCCTGGAGAGGGGGCCAGAAAGCTTCGGATTCAAAGGAATCAATTACTACACCAACTCTGGAGAGGTCCCAGATTTCATATTTTAAGGAAACTTTAACCTAACAGTAAACTTTAGTATATTTTAAAATCTTTGGGGTGCTGCTCAAAGGTGATAAACTAACTGCCCCAGAGACAGAAATCTTCCATCTCCAGCATATGAACCACTTGGGCAGAGGCAAAGCACATTCCCCTGCACTGCACCCAGTACACACTGCACTCCCCACTAATGTGTCCAGCCCTGACTTGAAGGAGTCATCTGTAGGGCTGTTCAGTCTCCATTGTCATTCAATCCTTAGCCTCTCTGGTGGACTACCAATTAGTGTCTCAAGATCATAATCAGAACACGCCATTAAGAACTGGAGTGAGACCTCCAAGTCGTTTCATACAGAGCACCAAATAATCACTATTATTGCAACAATTTACAATTACTAGCAATGTGAACTAGATTTGGACTGGTGACTTTTACAGAGGTGATAGTGTACATATCCCATAAAAGCCCTCAACCTCTGTTATCCATATTTTCCCTGTGTCACGTTTGCATTGTACTTCTCAGATTCCACATGCAGTTCCCTTCATTAGAACATAAAACACCTGCATTCATAAACTGATTTATTTATTTTTTGTCAGTATGGTAGTTACATCCCAGCCCCCAAGGTGATTTGTCCACAGCACATAATTTAGCACAAAAGGCTATATCTGCTCACGAAGACCAGGACTGGAACAGCAGGGACTGTTTCAGGTCAGGACTGAAGTACACTGGTATGCAATGCAGCTGTACCCACTATGCCCAATTCTAATCAAGATTATTGTTCTTCCACAAGTGCCAGAATCACACAGAAGATGAATAAAAGAACAGACGCTCTCTCACAGCTGCTACCACTATATTTCCTGAGCCCAAAGTGATTAAGACATGGTTAGTGTTTTCTTAGCAGCCATTAATCAGAACAGCAATTGATTACAAATTCATTCTCTCCTAAGTGACTGAAAAATAAAAGTAAAGAATCTACACGAAAGTTAGTTTTTCACATTATCTGAAATAAATGTAATTACTTGAGGAGACACGTTATTTTTAATATTTAAGACTTTGGGTTTCATTTTTTGCAGCTTTTAGAAATATCATGGAAAGTCTAGTCTCAAATTAAGTAGCCTATCACCTACCATGAGATGCATAGATGCAGAAGGTGAAATGAATGGCAAATACCAATACTACAGAATGAAAGCAGCAGGCAGGCAGAACGGAAGGGAAAAGAGACAACATCAGAGTTAAGTGAGACAAACTGATCACACCACGTTCTGAACAAGTTCACACACAGCCAAGTCTGAAACACAGGAAGGAATCACTCAAGGAGTAGAACTTGGATTTGTTAGAAGTTATAGAGTATTCTGTCCTGTCATTAAGACCTAATGTTAATTAACAAGGTCAACAATTGGAGAGAATACACATCTAGGCTCTCCTGTTTGGTTAAAAATAGAATTAGCGAAACCAGCAGGAAAGCCACTAGAATTACAGCTCTATACAGCTGGCATATATTCTTTGTTTAGCATTTACAATGCTAAATTCATCACTGAAAGTCAAAGATTAAGATGCTCTCAGTTTATATTACTCAAAAAGGACAGGACAGAAGGCTCCTTTAACTCAGCTGGTATAGTCAGGAACCTGGGGAAAAAATTAACCAACATGCCAAAAAGGTTAAATTATTGTTAAGGAACCATAACATTTTAGTGAAGTCACATGCCTGGCAGCTGGACAGAGCAGTGTGTGAACAGATGGAGAAAATCCAGCTGTTACCAGTCCAAAGTGTTTAAATTAACTGCATCCTGTCATCAAGCTTTCATCTACTGCTATCAATCTGAAAGAAGTGTATAAAAGGAGCCAGCAACTGAAGGGAAGTGGCTAGATGATGCCATTTAGTAATGTTCAAATGTTACAGTCAATGCACCTATACAATTTAAAAATACCTAAAGTCACAGGGATCTGACTTGTAGATCAATGCTTGGTTTTTACATAATTTGGTAGACTCAATTTGCCTATCAGCTTTACAGCAAATAGCCTTTTCGTATTTCATTCTCACTTATATATGAAAGCACAGCAAGTTAAAAATTAATCTAAGTTTACTTGGCCTTTTGTACAATCTTCAGTAGCATACTACTACTGTGGTAACAAGAGTGTTTGAATGCTAATTAAACAAATTCAATGCCTTAAACACAAAAGCCATGTCCACACAAGAAAAAATGGAGTCAGTGGCTGACAAAGGGGGTCTGCAACGGATGGAGCTCAATTACTGCCGAGTACAGACAAACCAAATTCAGCATCTGCACCCATTGCTGAACCCTGCAAACTGCAACAGATATTCATCCTAGTGTAGAAAAGACTGAGGGAGAAAATAACATCAATGAATGAAGTCCTATTTAAGTCAACGAGCCACATTCACTTGTGACTTAATGGAGTTATTATATCAAGGATGGATGAGCTTGGCTCCATTTATCTTCACGTTGAAATTTAAGCTCTATACCTTTGCTCCTCATATCTTTCAAAAAAAGAAAAGGAGGACTTGTGGCACCTTAGAGACTAACAAATTTTTTTGAGCATAAGCTTTCGTGAGCTACAGCTCACTTCATCGGATGCATACTGTAGCTCACGAAAGCTTGTGCTCAAATAAATTTGTTAGTCTCTAAGGTGCCACAAGTCCTCCTGTTCTATTTGCGGATACAGACTAACACAGCTGTGTTCATCTCCTAGTGTCATCTGGAGTGGTAACACGGAATAAGATTATAGACAGGCAAGACCCAAATGTGGCCTAACCTTTTCAGAAGGGCAACGTGTGATATGTACTGTGCAGTTCAAAGGCACATTTCTAAAAACATGAAAAAAGAGAGCCTTCCTGCTCTTAGTCTAAGGAAGCCAGGACTTTGCAGCACTACTACCACACAGCATTACTTCAGCTCCTTACACTGTGGGTGTTGCTCTAAGGATTAGGATAGCTGTGGTTTAAGCCAGATAACTCCCCACATAAACATTAACACAAGCCCCTAATATTAGCTCACAGAACATCCACCACTGAGCTCCGAACACCGCAGCAGCAGCCTCCATCACCGCAGGGTACATGTTGGGGGGACACTGCAGGGATGGGGGGGGGCAGGAATTTAAGGCATCCCAGAGGTTTAGGGATGCCCCAGACTCACCCCCCCCCCGGCCCCGGGATGGCACAAGCTCCCCGTGCCCAGCAGGATGAGCCGGGTTCCTGCCAGCAGCTTGGCGCCGGCCCAGAGGCCCCTTCACCCCCCCAGCTCACCCCATCTCAGAACCGCTTGGGAACCCGCCGAAGGTCCGGACACCGCCCCCCCCCCACTCCAGGCCCCCCACGGGCCGGACACCGCCCCCCCCCACTCCAGGCCCCCCACCCCCCACGGGCCGGACACCGCCCCCCCACCCCTCACGGTCCGGACACCGCCCCCCCCACTCCAGGCCCCCCACCCCCCACGGGCCGGACACCGCCCCCCCCCACTCCAGGCCCCCCACCCCCCACGGGCCGGACACCGCCCTCCCCCCACTCCAGGCCCCCCACCCCCCACGGGGCCCCCCCCTCCCCCCACCCCCCCCCACCCCCCACGGGCCGGACACCGCCCTCCCCCCACTCCAGGCCCCCCCACCCCCCACGGGCCGGACACCGCCCTCCCCCCACTCCAGGCCCCCCCACCCCCCACGGGCCGGACACCGCCCTCCCCCCCACTCCAGGCCCCCCACCCCCCCACGGGCCGGACACCGCCCTCCCCCCCACTCCAGGCCCCCCACCCCCCACGGGCCGGACACCGCCCCCCCCCACTCCAGGCCCCCCACCCCCCACGGGCCGGACACCGCCCCTCCCCCCACTCCAGGCCCCCCACCCCCCACGGGCCGGACACCGCCCTCCCCCCACTCCAGGCCCCCCACCCCCCACGGGCCGGACACCGCCCTCCCCCCACTCCAGGCCCCCCACCCCCACACCGCCCCCCCCCCACCCAGACCCCCCACCCCCACCGGACACCGCCCCCCCCCACTCCAGGCCCCCCACCCCCCACGGGCCGGACACCCCCCCCCCCCCCCACTCCAGGCCCCCCACGGTCCGGACACCGCCCTCCCCACTCCAGGCCCCCCACCCCCACAGCTCTCCTCAGCCCCCGCCCCGCCCCCACTTACCATTTTCTTGCTCTCGGTGCCCCGACCGGCCTGGCGCGACATCCTGCCCAGCCCGGTGTGCGTCGGCCCGGCCCGGCCCAGACCCTCCGACCCGCACAGCCGGCAGCCTCCCGCAGAGCCTCGGGGCAGGGCCTGGCGCGGGGTATGACGGGAACTGGAGTCCCCTCGAACCCAGCGCCTCCTCCACCCCAGCGCGGCCTCTCCGCCCGGAGAACTACCGCCCCCACAAGGCACCGCGCGCCGCCCTCGGGGCATGCTGGGAATGAGAGGGGAGGGGGAGGGAGACGTTCCACTCCCAGCAGGCCCTGGGAGAGCAGCGCTTGACTCAACTGCAGTTCCCAGCATGCCCTGGGAGAACAGGGGGCTGCGGAGACTACAACTCCCGGCATGCCCTGGGCGGGCTCAGGGTGGAAGGACTACAATCCCCAGCATGCCCAGCCACGGCCAGCCTGGCCTCTAGGTGGCACGTGGGGAGCAGGCTGCAGGGGGGGGGCAGCTGCATCCCCTGCCCTGTGGCCTTCGGGACGTGGGGTGGCGCCTGGCCCCGGGCCTGCACCCAGCCTGGCCCGGGCCCTGGAGCGTGGGCAGCCGCGCCAGGGGCTGGGCGTGTCCGTCTGGCCGGGCTGGGGTCAGTGCCCCCCGCCAGGTGGGGCAGAACCATCTCCCCAGCACGGGAGCCGGGCCGCGAGCCCCCTGCAGAGAGGGCACAGGGGCGTCCGGCTCCTGGCTGGGATTACACTCCTTTGGCAGGCCAGCCGGGGAGCTCCCCGCGACCGGGAGGCGGGCATGGCTGGCACCTGTCTGGCTGAGGGGCGCCCTGTCGTTCCATATGAAACTCCGCAGGGCGTGTGTGGCGTGACCCGCCCTGAACCCCGCGTGCTGCTAAGTTAAGATGCAGGCACAAACCACACGCTCACAGAGTGAACCCGCTCTGCGGCCCCTCAAGCGCTCCGGTCTCACGCAGGTGTCAGTTCCCCCGCATGAATGCGGCACTAGCAACCGTGGGACAGTGTGTTTATGTTCCTGCTGCTACCAGTGTCATTCCACAGTCGCTCTTGCAACTGGCAAGAGGCAATTGACAAAAAGAGGGCGGTTTGTTTGCAGTTAAATCTGAATCAACATGGATTGGAGTCCTCAAAGTGCAACGACTGTTTTATGTTACTTAGAGAACAACATATAAAGTGTGTAATTGTTTCCTTGCGACTTAGGGCAGTGCAAGTGAAAGAGCGAAGCTCACTGAAGAGTCCCCGGGGTAGAATAGAGTGGGGAAGCAGAGGGTCCAAGGGGGGGATGGTAATTGGAGGGGAGCAGGGAGTGCGTTGGAGGAGCACAGCTATAAGGCGTAAGATCAGAGAGCTGGGAGAAGTGAAGGAAGACCAAATCCAGGGAAACCTTTGAAAACCAGGAGGCCCATTTGGAAGTGGGTTTGGAAACTGACAGGAAATACAAACTTTTCATTTTTGTAGCTGAGTATGTCCTTGTATGGTAGGAGAGACAGCTCAGGAAAGCTACAGGGGAGAGAAGTGAAAGAGACTTCACTGATTCATTTCAACCCAGACCTGCTTCCAGCTGCTAAACATGCAGGCTCACCACACCTCTCTTCCAATGTCCTTCATTCCTGACCTGCAGTCCTCCTACAATTCCAATCCTAGGACTTTACACAACTCTGCCAATTCACCTTATTCCCGGCCTGAAACTCCAATTGCTGTTCCAGTCCTGGCTCTCCTTGAGCAGACACTAGATACATCAGGCCACGTTCTCTGTTTGCAGTATGAACCTTTGACAATAGGCTAGAAATGCACAAACATTTGAACTTGCGACCCGAGCTTTGAATTGGAGTGTGATTCCTCAGAAACAAACGTCTGGTTTATTCATCTATTTCCTGAATTGCTTCATAGCCACTGAGTTCAGAAAATAGTATTAACTCCATCACATACCATAGCTAAATAACCAGAGCTCATTGTCTGTAGGACACCCTGAAGCAAAGCAGTCCGCTGCATCCAAGGAAGCCTATCACTAAGTATTTGATGGGTGATATATGCCATGTGTGTTATTTGGCCAACATTTGGTGCCCACATTCTCCAAACTGCACACGTTAACAGAACATAACTGGCTCTTAGAGATAAGGACCCATAGTGCCTGTGTTAATACTGCACAATGGTGAGCGTATCTAAGGACCTTCCGTTTATGAGATAACACAGTGTGCGTTATCTCACAGAGAAATGGTGCTTCCGCTAACGCCAGGGCTCTGGGGCACTTCTTGTTCTGCGCAGAGATTGTGTGATTTAGTTGGGAGTCGCACGCCTAGAAGTCTGATTCTGCAAAACAAAAGTTTAACCAAAATTAATCTGACCAGAAACGTGGCTGTCAGGTTGTATAACAACGCCGCTGCAGCCCCATTCTCTTTGGTGCAGTCGGTTGGCACAATAATCTGTCCAGCATCAGTTTTCTCTTAGCCATGCTTGAAGTCTAAAATGCAGGCTTCGACCACGCTATCTACTAGAGCCGCGTTGCCTGAGTCACTTCTACCTTCTTCACAAAGTCTGCCCTGTTCTTAGGGTAACATACTGGCAATACACATACATACATGTGCCTGTCTCCCTCCTTCCAACTGCTGGGCCACGAGAGGAGAGCAAGTTACTACCGCTGCCTGCACAAACCTGCTGGTTTAGCTCAAGCTGTGGATACTGGTGCTGCAATGCAGAAGGTGCCAGGTTCATACTGTGTTGCTGACCCAGGTGGAAGTGGGGGCGTCATTATTACATTGCAAAGGAAAACCAAGATATTAAATTAGGAGTATTTTTCTCCAGAACTATATAAAAATAAGAGATTAACCAATAGCCCGAAGTTAGGTCAACAATGAAAGCAGATGAAGTGGGAGAAGCTCAGGCCACTGCCCAGGGTCCTTTTCCATCTTGCTTCTCTCTCCTCTTCTGCCCCAATCTACTTCACTGCGGCTTTTGGAAAGCTTCTTACACCGATAACTGTTCCGGCCGATCGTTTTGTAACACTACACCACTTCCAGCAGCAACATGGGGCATGGAGCATTCACAGGTCCCATTCGCAGACGGCTACCCCCGCTACAGTGCCATGAAGAGTCTGGCCCTATCTCTTCCAGAAGTACCTTTTTCAAGCCACAGCTCTGTGGCACAGTAGAATCTGGGCCAGGTTCTGATCCCCTTGTTTATCTAGGATAGCACTCACTTCAAGCCTATTTGTGGAGCGAGGGCTTGTCTACGCTTGAAAGCATGGACGCTACACTCAGCATAGACACTACCTACGCTGCCAGGAGGGGTTCTCCCATCGGCATAGGTAACCCACCACCCCGAGTGACGGTAGCTAAGTTGATGGAAGAATTAACTATGTCGTTCAAGAATGGGGATTTTTCACATCTCTGGGTCAACCTAATTTTCTAGTGCAGATCAGGCCAAAAGGATCATTCAGTGTGAGTAAAGGGATCAGGATCTGGCCCTCTCGTTGTAGCAAGTCTAGACTTTTACTGTAATAGCTTAGATTCTTGTTTGTCAAAGCACCTAGACTACAAAAGAGCCAGTGCCCCACCACCCTTGGCATCTGCAGTGTTTTGACACTTAAAGAAAAACAACTGTCTGGCCCCTGCTGAGGAAGGATGGACAGGTGCCCAGCTGTTTGTTCTGACACTGCTGGAATAACAGGAAGTTCTGTTGTAACAATGATACCTAAGGCCCAGGGAGGGTAAAATGCTTTCTGTGCAGCTGGGGAGGACGCAGGGGGGTCCTGAGAGAAGTCAGTTACTGACTACAGAGAGAGGGAGAACGGGACAGCGGGATACTTGACTGCAGCACACACACAATGGTCTATTGGACACACACAATAGTCTATAGGACACACACACCTCTCACAGGTTTCTCATGAGGTCATGATAACCACAAGGACAAAGCTTTCGTGGTGGCCATTGTCACGAGGGCCCTGAGAGGTGTGTGCCGTAGAAGTCTATTCACGGTTTTCCTGTTCTGCTTTGTACAGAGGTCGCCAAGGCTCCTAGGTTCCACACTAGATTGTGTGACTTTGAGCAAGCCACTTCACTTCTCAGTCCACCCCCCACCCACCCCTCCAAAAATGTGTTTAGTAACACACACTTGCCTACCACACAGGCACTGTGAGACGTTGCTGATTAATTTAACGAAGCATTTTGGGATCCTTGTCTGAAAGGCACTGAAGGCAAGCTAAGAAGAGGTGTGCTCTTTAATCTCCCTGCGACAGCTCCTCACACTCAGGGCGAGTCCGATGTTCCAAAGCCTGGACCTCCTGCCCCCGACACAGTAGCTCTTCTTTGTGGCTCTGGAAGATCTCACCAGAGCTCAAAGCACCAGCACCAAAGAGACAGGGTGTTTAGTGGAAGGGCCATTTCCCAGGCTGGTCGGACAGGTTTGTGAAGCAGCTACGGTCTCAGCAACAAACCTGGACGTAGCCGTGGGATGTACATTCAGGCGAAGAGAAGGGAGAGCAGCGGACAAGCGTATTTTTTCTGTAAAGCAGACACACGTTCTCCTTTCCTTACAGGCATCAGGTGTGTCAGCCTAGTGCAAAGAGCAGATGGAAGCCCCAGAAGCAAAGGCTAGTGGCAGAAGTTGTTTTTATTTCAGCTTCCAGCTTCAGGTGCCATCGACACTTTATTTGTGGCCGGAAAGCCTGGTCTTGTGGGGCTGAGAGCCAGGCAACCTGGGAACTGTTACCCACCCTGCAGCAGTCTCTCTGTGTGACCCTGGGCAAGTCACTGTCTTGCTCTGTGCTTCAGTCTTCCCATCTGTAAAATGGGGGATACTGATATTTCAGAAGGATGTGGGAAGCTTCAGTTCATGCATCACTGCAAAGTGCTTTGAGATCTGCTGGAGCACCGGGTGGCATTCAATACAAGGTGTCCCAGAGAGCAGGGACATTAATGTATCTGTGCTCCGGATTGAGTCTGCACTTACAAAGGCTTTTGACTATAAGTGCAGCCAATTTCTGGAGAGCGTTGGATCAAACAGCCCAGTTGGGACAGTTAGAAGGCAGCTCAGTATATGGTGGTTTGGCACCCCTCAGACATGTTTGCCGTTATGCCTACAGTCAGAGTGACCTCCCAATTATAAAGATATTGTAGCTATTTTTCCCCATTGGCTTTTGAGTTCCTTGAGTC